CCGGCCAGGCCGCCGAGCGCGCAACCTGGGGCGCCAGCCCTGCCGCACTGCAGCCCTGGGACTGAGTTCCCAGCAGGGTGGCCCGCCCGAGGTGAGGAGGGTGAGGAGGGACTCCCAGTAAAGACAGCCGTACCTCGCATGGGAGCTCCAGGTTGAAACGCAGTCCCTCTGTCCTTTGTCCTCATTGGACGGGGACAGATTTGTTCTAAGTGGCTTGGGGAGCAGCCACACCTACCACCTGTGGAAGGCAGGCCCGCTGCCAGACCTGACAGACAGCTCTGAAACTCCAACTACCAGAGACCAGGGGTGTTCATGCACTTCTGGCCTGGGGCCATCCAAGCTCACCCCCACCTCTTTCTTTTTAAGTTGAAACAGGATACAAAGCATATTTATGCTTCTGGCGAGAAGCTTCTTGACCTCCTGAGGTAAATAGTCTTGGACAAATTGTTTCTCAAAACTGACCCACCTTTGGCAAAGAAAAAAGATGCAAAATAAAGCAAGTGTCATAAAGGCTTTGTTGTCTCTGGACTGCAAAACAAAATAGAGACCACAGAGGTGCTCAAAGTTGGGCCTTTCTGGTGACTCATAACAAGGAAATATTAAGAGATGAAAAGTCCTTCCCACTCATGCCCCAAATCCAGAAAAATCCTAAAAACATATACCCAGATGCCTTCCTGTATACCTTTGCCATTCACCACTCATTCATTCATTCATTTACTGGGTATTCAGCATTGACAATGAGCCCGTCTGTGTATCACTTGGAAATCACGTCCTAGGAAATAACCTATCAGACAATTGCTCTACTCCATTAAAGAGACTCTGCCGTTTCTGAAGATAATAATTTAATAATGTTATATTCGTTTCTCAGTGGATCTCACTCCATAGACCATGACAGCCCTAAGGATACTGCTAAATTCCCAGGAAGGCCGCTAAATTTCAACCGACATGTGCAGATCGTTGCTGCTTCATCTTGTGGGGGCGGGCTCGAATATTACTACGGTATCTTACAGATGAACTATGTAGAGAAAGCTACAGTTTGCAAAGCCAATGCCAAAGAAAGATCGTGTGCTTAGCAGAACAAAAAGGACCCTTGCACATGATACAGGAGAATGGGATCAGGGAATAAACAGTCCTGCTCAAACATCATAGTGCTGAAAGACAAGCTGGCAAACACAAGAATTCGCAGTCGCCAGCCCTCAGCCAATACTTGACTCAGTAAATGTGTAGTATGTAGTGTCCTTGGAATTGTAAACATCACTAAGACCCTTCTTCTGGTGGGAAAATCTGTTCCAAGTGACTGCTATTAACGAAGGCAAGTTGGAAACACATTATTTTCTAATTAGGGAACTTCCTAAATTTAAGCACTACAAAGAAAAATAGGGATCCTGAACAAACCAGTGCAACAACTTTTAACACATAAATCTAATAAAATAGAAAGAATGGGTTATGGAGAATTGTGTGGCAGAAGAAAAAACTCATTCTAGCTACTAGGTGATTTTTAATAAAAGTAGCTTAGTGTGAGGGAAAAGGCAAGAAGTGACAAAGGAAAATGGGAGCAACAATAAAGACCTAGGGACAAGAGCAGGGCTAAAAAGGCAAAGGACAACCGAAAAGAAAGATGTAGGCTTCGAAAGCCAATTTTTAGGATGAAGCTCAGGAATTATCCACCAAACCTTTTATAAGTCCTTGTTGGATCTGTGATGTCTCATTCTCTACCAAAATGTTTTCATTGAAATTAACATCAAAGCCGGGTGTGGTGGCGCATGCCTGTAATTCCAGCCTTGGGAGGTGAGTCAGAAGGATCACTGCAGAGTCCAAGGCCTAGGCTACATGGTGAGTTCAAGGCCAGTTGGAACTATATAGCAAGACCTTGTCAAACAAAAAACAAACAAAAAAAACCAGCAACAACAAAACATTGACATCAATATTGACAAGCAGGAAGCCTGGTGATCTCTACTTTGCCATAGAAGTCCCTGGCTGGAAAGTCATTCAAAACGTTTTCAACAGACACTTGCTGATCAACAAACATCCTTGTATTTTTATGTTCCTATGGACACAAAGCTTTATAACATTGTGCCTATAGAGGGATGTGGGCATTGCACTGTGCTTGATAGAACAGAAATGTAATGGCTGAAGGAATGGTGGCCTTGGAGAACATGTACCAGACAGCATTTACAAGGCAGGCATAAATGTTGCAAGACAAATAAAATTCAAAACCGTTTAGCTCCTACCACAATGCAAAACAATCTGGGACTTGGGAAGCTACTTGGGCAACTGTCCGGATTTGTAGGAAAGGACCATATTCCTCTTCTCCTGACTCAGCTTGGACCTGTGATCACATGGACAGAAACCTACGTATCTTCCTCTTGGGGAGTATCTGAATTGAGACTCTGTTGCACTTTACTCACCTGTAAGTGATGAGGGTGCCCACACAGGTGAGCAGGAGGAAAACATGGAATGGCACACACAGAATGGAGGAATGTAGGGTACCTGGGATCACAGCCAGCTAGAAATTTCCAGGAAAGATTGAGCAAATAATTGAAGATGTATAAACCAAAGGAAACCAAGAGAAAGGATATAAACAAGGTATATGGCCCTGGGTAGTATCGCTTCACTGAATGAAATTTAAGTAGAAAGCAAAAGAATTTTTTTAAAAAATCCAAATCAGTATGAATTTATTTAGATTGAGCAAACCATTCTCACATGAATTATGGAAGAACTTTACACATAAAGTAAAAATATTTCTCAGAACTCTATGTTTTTATGCTTCAGAAAAGAGCTACTGATTTTGAAATTAAGTCACGAGGGAAATCTTGTTAAAGCACATGTGAAAATGCATCATAAAACCATAGTAAGAAGTCTAAGTTTGTCCCTATTGTCCAAACATAACTCACATGCAAAAGCGTATATTTGATTGCTACATCATATAGTTACCTCAATTAATAGTTAAAATAATATGACCATGGAACAAAAATAGAGGTACAAAGTATAAGAGTATTAGATGAGAATAGCTATCCTATATACAGATGCTAGTAAATGTAAAAATATTTGTATTTGAAGAAGTTGACATCTTAAACTAGTAGGAAAAGTATAGTTCTGTCAGTTGTATTGGTGTAGGTCATTGACTTTTGTGGAAAAAATAAGGTTAGATTCTCACCAAGGTAATTTTATTATGCCTTAAAGAATTATTTTGTCAAACAGAGAGATGACTGAAATAATTAGAAGAAAGTAAAGTTTAATATTTATTTTAAATTTAGGGAGAACTTTTTAAATATAAGAACAAGTGAAGGAATCAGAGAAAAATATTGACTACATGTGAACAGATATGTCTGTACATAATAAAAATAATACCATAAAATTAAATTAAAAGCACACTAAAACCTAAGCCAGAAAACTATTTGCAACATATGATAAATGAAAGATTAACACCTTTCCTAAATTGCTTATCAGGAAGGCAAGTAGAAAACTCCTAATAGGTAAAAGATTAACATCAGAACAGAAAAATTAGCCAAGCACTTGAACAATTGCAGAAGAAGAAATACAAGTGACCGAGAAAGAGGTATATTTTTAATAGTTCTGTGTTGAGATGTGCTTTGTGATTTCTGTCAAGATGTGACTTAGTTGTCATTGCCTGTCCAGTACACCAAATTTTAAGAATGTCAGTGGTTAGAAACAAATCCTGGAGCAAAGAAAGGAACACACTTAAAAAAAAATATGCGCCATCACAATGTTATGATGATACTAAGATCACAGACCACACAGAGTGGTAAAGGGACTCAGAAAAATGGGAAGTTTAAAAATGAATACCTTAACCATGATTTTTGTTCCTTCTTTACAGCTAGATAAGAATAAAATATAAGCCACTTTTATATTTAAATAACTCCAAAAAGCTCTTTCAGTAATTATAAAATAAAAGTTATAAGTGATAAGAAAACATTATGTTTAAGTGGCATCATTTGATTCTTACATAACTACATAAAATAATACATAAAAGGTATGAAGTACTAATTGTGCACCTTAGAATTTATTGTCTTGTATAAAAAGAGCAATAATACATCAAGAACCCTAATAATGTTCATACCATTTGACTCAGTGATTTCACATGTGGGAAATTATCCTAAAGTCAACATTACAGGCACACAAAGATTTTATTGTAAATGTAAATATTTCAGTATTATTATACAGTTTAAATGTTAAAAACAACATAAAAACCTAATAGGAAATTGATCAAATAAATATGTCCCTGGGATAGAATATTGTGCTGCCATAACAAACATGTATCAAAAAACATATAATGGCATAGGAACATACTTCTCACTTCATTATTAATATTCTTATAAAAAGCAGAATATAAAACTACATAATCAATTTTGTTCTCTTTATTTTCAAGCATGTGTTTAAGCATGCAAGAAAAAAAATACTGCAAATAAATGTTCCTTATGTTGTGTTATTATCTGGGAGAGGTGGGATTATGTGTAGTTTGTTTATACTCTTCTACATTTTCAAAATATTCTGTACTGAGTATGTATAATATTTATAACCCAATTTTTAAAAAAATGATGCTTTAAATGGTGGATTCCTATATGTAAACATAGCCATACCTTTCCATTATAGATTTTAAAAATGCATACAGCTTAATGGAGCTATAAGGATTGATTAAATTTTAAATGGTCCAAGAAACCAGGCGCTAAACCAAACTTTCCACTTATTCACTTTCAAATGGGTTCACCTGCATCCTGACATAGCACACCTGTGAGCTTGCCTACTGCTCTGCCACAAACACAATCCTCAAAGGAAAGATCCCAAGCAGAAAAGAAAAAGCTGGCATTATAAATCCTTGACACATTTTTCACCATGAGCCTTGGACAGCATGGGATGGAAAATAACAATCCACAACTATCAAGGTAACCATGCTTTAGAAGCTCACTCAGGATAACAGTCTTGAGTTCTCCAACAGGCTTTAGTTTAGCAATTAAACTACCTCGCTACTTTCCAATTGAGACGAGCTTCCATCCAAGGAGAGAGCATTTGTTGCTTCTGGAATTGGAAAATAACAATCCACAACTATCAAGGTAACCATGCTTTAGAAACTCACTCAGGATAACAGTCTTGAGTTCTCCAACAGGCTTTAGTTTAGCAATTAAACTACCTCGCTACTTTCCAATTGAGACGAGCTTCCATCCAAGGAGAGAGCATTTGTTGTTTCTGGAAACACCCATCAAGGGAGGACACGGAGCAGAAAAACAAACAACAAATCTTTAA